TGCTATAACTATATAACTAGCTGCCATTCATAGAATGAGTTCTAGCTCTGAGAAGGTTTGAGCACTGGCCTTTTAGCAACGCCCAGCAACTAAACCAAACTAATGGAAAATGGAAATTGTACAATGAAGTAAAAAATACTACAATTATTTAGAACTCTTGACATAATTGCATTTTTCAACAATATTTAATAGTGAAAATTGAATAAAAAATCATATCATTGATTTTGAAGTAGTACGATTAAAATAATATTTTGCTTACCTCATATTATTTGAAAACCTCTTCAACGTTTTAACCAAACAAAATTGTACGGAATTTCGTCAGCTGACCACTACTTTAAAGTGTGTATTGTTAACATATCAATGGAGACACACCTACGTTTGCAAGTACTTATCGTTAACTATAAATATAAAAATTAAATATATACACAAAACTTTTTCATGGATGGATAAGACGAAAACCGAATCGATATCCATTTTCATAACTTGTAGACAATTTCTAATTTTTACACGCTTTATATTAGCTTCACATATTTGTATGTTTGTTTCTAACCGGATCCTTTGGGCGTGATTTTGACTGACTTTAAACGGTCAGAATTCGTTCAAACTTTGTAGATATATCGAGGACCGATGACAATACACTAATTTAAAAAATAAAAAATAAATATAAAAAAAAAAATAGTTTTAAAAAAGCGTGTTTTTTAGTTTTTTTAAACTCTTTTTTTTTCTATGGAGAGGCCTATGCCTAGCACTGGACTAGTAATGGCTGTTGATGAGACAATTTAATGAATGTTAAATTTTCGAAATTGCCTAAACTAAACTGTTCAAGAAAATTTCATTTAAGAGTTGTTTGAATTTTCTAATAAATTTTTAAACATGTATTCAACTTGTGGTTGAATATTTTTAATAACAAAATATAATATATTTATTTTCCACATAAAAACAATAATTAATTCCAGTCCTTCGAATTTCACTTTTAAAAAATTAGGCACAGTGTTGTATCATCATTATTCCAGCCATTTACTGCCTATACTCAGAGTTTCTCCGAGGAATTTACGTAGAAATCATTAGTATCACGGTTAGATATTGTAATTTTAAATACTACTTTTCTGAGCTAGTACAAGTATTTTAAGGGAATTGTTTAAAACTTTGTCTATCGTGGTCAATAATAAATTGTCGAATTTCACTTCTGAAAGTCTTATTGAGAAAACCCAACCAAAACCAAATGTAAAATGAAGTTTACTAATGATAGAGTTTTTCGTTGGACACTTCTTCTTTTTTAATATTATTTATTATAATTAAAATCTAGTCTCTCGCCCGTCTCTCTCGGGTGCTGAACTATATCTTCTATTTTAGATTACAGAGATTGGGGACCTCTGGTGGCAGATTAACTGCTACGGTTGGTGATAGTAGTAGGCTGGTAGGCCGCAACATGTATTAATTGGGTCGATAGGCGGGTAGAAGCCCGAGGCTTCCCCCCCCTTACTAGGATTAATCCGAGGGGACCTGAAATAAGATGGCCCCGGGTATTCCTTGGAGTAGGGTGCCTGAGACCGGCCATCGGTTTGGTTTTTAGTGAAAACACCTCATACTCCTGGCTCCTATATCCCCGATCAGCCGGAGATATGAGTGGATTTTCCACCTAGTAAACAAAAAGAAACAGTGGCACTCCTTGATTATAACAGTATTTTTTTTTTTTTTTTCGATTCGAAAAGTTCCAACATGAATATATATCTATGTTGTACGTATATACACAGTGTATGTTTACATTATAAATATGTATATTATCAATGCATTTCAACCCAAACTCAAATCTTGTGTAAACGGGGCCAATATCTGTAGATACTTATAAACAGTATATTAGTATCTACAGATATTGGCCCCGTTTACACGAGAGGTGTCTGTAACGGTAACAGTGTCGCGAGTTCTAGGGTTTTTTCCCATCTTAAAATATACGTTCTTTTGTTTGTTGTTCAAAAAGGTCATTCTCACCTACTAGCTACGGCTCTCGTTAGCCAAAAGAAATAAAGTAACCAAAGATATGAAATGTTATCGCTCCCGGTATCCCATATACCACAGACACAGAGGTTTTTACCATAAACACTTAGTAGTAAATGTAATACGTGTGTAATATCATTTTTTTGTCGAACATATTAATTTAAAAATATATATTAGTACCCTATAAAACGTTTAATACATGTTTTAACTATGCATAGTTCGTTATATCTGCAGTACTTACCACCATGTTTACTAACAGTTTATTACAATTGGGTGTGTTATCTGTATCTTATCTTACTCTGTGCCTGACGTAGGTAGGTGCTAATTGGACTGCGCACACGCAGTGCCGGCATCACGCCCAGTTAGCCCCACTTTACCCTATTTGTTTTTAATGTTACATTTCACCCGCAAACACCCTCTTCCGGCAAGATTATTGGAAATATCGCTTTTTTGTGACCGCACCCGCCGACGCTTTAAGTAAATAATCCTTGAAATAGTTTTACTCAAACAATTTTTACCATTGCAAAACTAATTGGCAGAATGGAATTAAAACAAAATGTAAACAAGTGAAGTGGTTTTAAACATTACACTCATATTTGGCTACTCGTTAGAAAAACTAATATTTATCACATAAAGTATAGCGTCAGTCCGTATTTCTGTTAATCTGTGTGAACGTGATAAAGTTTAAAAGAAAACTAACATAATTCTTAAAAAAGGTAAAGTATTTGTATTTGTAGTAATTTGTAGTTGAAAGTACTTGTATTAGTTCGATGAAATAGGAGGACGATTGTTGCAGATATCTGAAAAAATTATGATAACTAGAATTAGCGAAATTTTTCCTCTTAAAAACGTCTATTAAGTACATACTTAGAAATGTATGTATATGAGGTAAATACCATATTTACCTGTCCTAAAATGTTTTAGAGAGTTCTAAAAGAAATAATACTCAAGTAAATGCGAGTTAAATATGATTTAATTTCGTAATTTTTCTTAGCAATTATATTTCGTTCTCAGCGTCTGCATACTTATAATAAGACACAGTAATAAGATACACAGTGTCAAGTTATTTCAACAAATTTATTATGTAGTTAAGCGCATATTTCGTAAACTATTATATATTGTTTGGAATGTTTCAATGTCTTTTTCAGTTTGTCTTCTATTCTATGGAATAATTATGGAATGTAAAGCAACAAAGTATATTTATGGACGAATGGTGACAATATTCGCAAGGCTTTTATTGAATAATGCCGAACATTACAATACGCAGAAAACCTTTTTGTTAAATTGTATACTAGCTTATAATTATATATAATTTGTATTTATTGACTTGTGTATTGGTCATTCAAGACTGTTGTAATCTTTGTTACATAGCTGTATAGTTTTCTGGCCGTATTACACTGTTCGATATTAATTTATATTTAAAATTTCAATATACACTGGGTATGGAATACGAATATTAATTTACTAAAGGATTGCTGACATTTGGAATCATTTTCATTTGGTATACACTAGGCTGTACGCATTTATTTCAAAGTTGAAGTAGGAGCACATATATTGCTACTTATTTTCACTTTACTATAATTATTTGAATTATTACTTTAATAAATTTAAATATTTTTTTGTGTTCTCCATATGAAAGTGATAACAAAGTTAGAATAAATTGTGTAATATTTTCTTAAGTTAAAATACTTTACTACTTCCACGTTTACAGACAAAATTAATACACTAGATATAATGCGAACACATAGTCATACACTGCCACCACACTATGGCACAGATCTTATTAACATTATTAATATTATAAACGTCCTTTATTATGTATGTACGGTGACGAACATATATGGATAACAGCGGAACATCGATGAACATCGACACTCTATTTGAGTTCGAAAGAACACTATGCAAACATGGCAATTTTATACTTGAAAATCAATATAAGCAAATATCAACAGGATTTTGACAAAAGAGATTCAATTACCTATAACTCTCATACAAACTCTTAAAATAATATATACAAAGCGCTCGAAATCATACAAACAAATTCACAAATGGACCAGAAATAAATTCAAATGAACATTAGTAAGGAAAAGTTTCAGTACATGAAGTTAGTAAAGAAAACTAGGTCATAGCGACTGTGGCTAAGCACAAGAGAGCGGTTGGTCGGATAGATTAAATACCCATTATTAAATACAAAATATTTTAATACAACTTTACATCTAACATCTACGTTTACAAATTGTTTGATTAACTTTTGTTTGATAAATAAGTAAACACAATTATTTTTTTATTATATTTACAAGCAGATAACACGATCCGTACTTAATAGTAAAGCGTTTTAAATAATACACACTGAGAATTGACGTAAAGGCGTTTTTGCTACACTTATGGTGAGCCAGCCGAAGCAATCGAGGGCTACAATAACTCATACGCTAACAAAGGAGTGCTTGCCACGGATGCGAGCGGTCCGGGTGTCGACGCTCCCAGCACCACAGTTCAGCGGTGGTCTATCTGAGCGCTCGTGACTGGCGAGACTACTATTTGCTCTTTCCACAGAAAAACTTTTTTCCTTTTAGAGCACGAGTCCGGCCGCTGGTACATGAGCAAACGAGCGCCACAATGTTACACGACCTTAAGGAATTTCACAGCTCCGGACGTCGTCCCGGCTCGGCGTTTTTTCCCCATTCAAATGTTTGCTCTCTCGCTTCAGCTACCATTCATACGACGTTTGAAACGCCGCGGCCACCGTGGCCGAGCTAACCTAACGCTATCCAGTCCACGTCACTGTAATAATACTGCGATAGTTGACTAATACTCTGTCCACTCACAATGTCCATTGACAGCTCTCAACGGAACGCAAGAAGCGTTAAAGCGTAAATTAGCTGCTAACGTGAGGAGGATGCATCGTCTACGTGCCGTCGCAATTCCTCCGCCTCTGATGCCGGCCGTGGTGATGGCGCACGCCGTGACAAGGCGGCTTAATGGAGTTCTGGGGCGGAGGCCGGAGCCTACGCTGCGGACGCCACTTGGGCAAGTCGCCGGCGCGCATTATGTTGTGCCTGTTTATATCGAAGTCGTGAGCCTCCTTCATGAACGAGAAACATTTGTGCAGCCGCTCCGAGAGACGACTCTTGCCGCGTCGCAGTTGGACACCTCGCCGGTTGAACCCTATGTAGCGGTCTTCGTTCTTCACCAAATGGTATCTGTTGTAGCCGTCCACAAACTCCTCTTTGAAGAGGCAATTGGGCTGTCTCTCTGCTTGGTAGCGTGTCTGTGGACAATTAACGATTTTATATTACTTTTATTGAAGTAAAACTAGTAGTCTAACTTTAAGTAGTTATTTATTTTCTGAAAATGCTCAGAGACAAAATAAAGAGCGAATACTGACCAGTCGCCTGCCGACCAAGCGCGAGCGATTGAAGCAGAGGAACATGTCCTGCACTGGAGAGTGAATGAGCAGTTCTAAACTGACGCCGCGCGTACTGATGGTGAGATTCGCTGTAACAAAAAAAAAACAGGAATTTAAATATTGCGCAATAACTGTTCTTTTGTTTGTTTTCTTTTTGAGAGTTCAAAAAGTGACGGATTCAATTAAAAATACCATGCGATTTAATTTTTTATTTTGTTTCAATCGATTTGAAAAAGTACAACGTTAATTTAGCTTCAAATTCTGAAGTAGCTTACTACTAAATAATTAATGAGACTGAGGCATCTATTGAGAAATCTAATGTATGTTATCTTATATTTGTTCATTACTTTAGGTGTTTATTTCCAATATAATATAAAGAAGCATAAATAGACTAAATAAAATAGAGAATGAGTTAATAACGATTTATAAATATGCAGGAGAAACATTTATTTTTATTACGACGAACAATGAAAAGTACCTAAATCTTTTTATATCGCGTTACACCAAAATCGCACGTCACACAAAAATATTTATTTAGGTAGCAAAAAATACTACACATGCAATATCATGATGTTTACAAATGGGAATAAACAGGTGATTCAAATGAAAATAAATACTCTAAATCTTTCTAACAGCGCAATGCGCATTTTAAAGTTTAGTTTTAAAACTCTTGCACAGGAACGTTCTCGAGTAACTGAATAAAATAAACGAAGAGACAAACTACAAATTCCGGAAAATAATTTATGATGACAATTGAAAATAAGTAGTAATACTAATGTTCTTACAATAAACAGTATCGTTAACACATAAATCAAACTTTCTTCTTCCCGAATTAATTAACTCATAAGAAGTCAAATTAATGAATTGTAAGTATTCAAGGAATTCTCCATGTAACTCCCGCTTATGTTAATTACCTCACCCTGGGTGTATATTTTCCAATTTCTATCAACGCCGCGGGCTACGGACACGTAATAAATTGAATTTATTCTGTACAAGAGTCAGTCGAACAGTGTCAGGTGCAACAAACTAATCGTTAATGATATTTGAACACTAATAAAGTATAAAAATAAAATGTCGATAAATATTAATCTATTGCCAGATATTCAATACATGACAGGCGAGTGAGGGCTCACATGCCACGACGTTGACATTTTAAAACTCGTTCCTTCAATATTCACATTACTCTTGTTGTTTGAACTTCAGTCAGGTTTTAACAAAACATTGTCTTAATATAAAATTTCTATTTGGATTATTTTATTTTAACATATATGTTAAATAACCCTAGTGTAATATTTTTGTGATACAGACTACTTTATCTGACAAAACTTGCGTCAAATAGTGGCACCGTGTATGCATTTAATTAGCAATTCTTATAATAAGTAGGAGATTACAATGAATTTCCCTATAAATAAAAGTTGTAATAGTTTGTTACAAAAAAAAATGATGTGTGGCGTTTGTAGTTTTTTTGACAAAACGGAGCGAATTAGACTCTTAGTACTTATTCCACAAACAAGCGATTGAATAAGAGAGGTGCAAAACTACGTACCTATTTAAAAAATAACAAAACTTTGATTTATTATTATACTCTTAGCATTTTTTGGCTGCTGTCCTTACAACTACATTAAAGCACTGTTTAATGAGTGTCATATTTTGTGCGTCGATCATACAGCTATAATCATCATAACAAGTCGTAAAAAAATATAAGTACCTACTTATTGTCTTTAGAAAAATATTCATGTATAAATTAAGCTTCTTAATTATAGATACTTAAAGAACATCTAGCAACAATATTTTAGTGATAATTCATTTATCGTTGTTGACATTGTGACCTTAGAATTTTTATTAAATATTTTGACCACACATTTTGTTTTAAATTGAATAGTTGATAAAACAATTAATCTTCTGTTTATGAACCGTAGCGATAATTAAAGTCAAGCTTCATAATGTAAGTTACAGTTAATAATATATTTAAAGTCACCATAATGAATGTGCGTTCCTCGTAAATGTAAAAAAAAACCATGTATTTAGGTCACTAAAGGCGGTGTCATGTAAACCCACCTTAATTGTGGATAGATAACACGTAAAAGAGAAAAGTTTGAGTATGGAATTCGATGACCAAACTCAATGGGACTCGTATAAAAAGAATTAATAAAAATAAAACTATGTACCCAGACACGGGCGCCTGTGACACAGTCCGTGTCATTTCAATTAACATTAAAAGAAATAAAAATACTTTAAACATAAATTTATTACAATTTCCATATGACTGAATGAAAGTACTTAAAAAAAACAAATATTGAATGAACGATGTATACATTCAAGGCACAAACTTCTACAGTATGCGATAGTTATAAATAACGTCTAACGTTACGAATTTCTGGCATTAGAACAAATATAGGTACATGTTGCATTGTATGAATTAATATAGTACTTTGGGTATTATGTCTCGTACATACGCGTACATTATAAGGACTCTGTGTTTACTAATACTGAATCCCGTCATGATAGTTTCCACATCAATCGTTGGGCAGCGGTCCTCCAGTCATGATCACTTAGTGTGGTCGGTGGACCCTCTCTCTGTCATAAAACCTGTTCTTCCACAGTAACTTATTAAATTATTAAAAAATATGCGAAATCAATCTGCACATTAACAACTTCTTCGGTAGTGTTCACTCGTGATAAAAATTCTGAATAGAAATGTACAATTTAAATAATTCAAAATATATTCACCTTGATCAACAACAATAAGGTGTTTTATAATATTTTCCTATCTACCTACATTTTGTTAACCATTCTTTATTCAATGATAACAACTACCAGTGTTCTTTTAATGTTTTATTGTCTTAGCCAGAGTAATATTTATTACAAGCATCGTACCGTAATTATTACGCCAATACATATAGTATCTATATTCATGAGCAAAATCTTTGTGTCTTCAAACTCAAATATTTTTAAATTGTTAATTTTTAACAATGGGTAACGCACAGATTATTAAATATATCGCGTTATAAACCACATAATTCTGTATATAATTTCAAAATGACTGCAAATACAAAAACATATATTTTACTTCCTTGTTAGTGCTTTACGCAACCCAGTAATTCTTCTAGGTTAATGTCATCATAACACCTCAAATATTGTTTGTTTATCTTGTTCGACGTTTACGCGAAAAAAATATTGTGTGTCTGTTTCAATGAATGTCTTTTCCATGGGTTCTTTGGCCGACTTAAGGGCAAAGGGACTTTCTTTCGAACGTAACGAGCCGTGTAAACATTGCCCAACCTCCATAATAGGCTAATTTTGTAAAGACAACATAATCTTGGGTCGCTAAAGTAAACACACTTTGAAGTGCCGACTAGCTTGTAATTTCACTAAAGCTTCTTCTTGATACATAGTAGTTTTCCCAGAGAAATGGCACGTACTTGAATGTTTTTGGTGATTTAGTGTGAGAAATTTAGCCGCATGAGTGTGCTGAGCTGTAATTTAAGGCAAGAGCAATATTTTCAAGTGAATTAAGACGGTGTTGGAGCACTTTCTCAAGTTGTGTTTCTTTATTTTTTTAAAACAAGTCCTGCATTAGGCATATATCCTGTATCGCAGGGGACTTTACAAACATACATGAAACCAACACAGAGAACACCTAGACTCAGAACATCAATGTATGGATCACACCAAGTGTCGTCCCATGCGGGGATCGGACCCACAACACTCAGCGTAGTAGTAAGCGGCGAGGTGACCGCTTAAACCACTGCGCCATCCATGCAGTCAATGTTAATGTTGTTCTGGTGTCTTTTCGTAATATCGGGGCAAACGATCAGCCTGGTTATCTGAGGGTCAGCGACCACCGCTATCTATGGGCTCGAGTACATTACCGGCCGTTTTGGTGGGAGCAAATTAAACATAATGCACAAAAATATATGATATACACAAAACACAGTAAAGATATGGATTGAAATCTCTTATTCTTTATTGAAAACGTCTTACTTTTTCAATAGATAGTTACCTAAATAAATATCCTAAAATTCAACCATAAAGAAATGGAAAATTAAATTTGATTAAACATTTCATGTTGGCATTTACTTCCTAAAGAAGGTAGGTTTGTATCGAATACTTTCAATAAAAACACAACTAAAGTTGTGAGCAGAAATGTCACTCGTAAATTTATAAAATATAGAATACTATCTAGAAAGTAATAATTGAAGTGATATATTTATGTACAACTATATTTGGACGTAAAAGTAATGGCTGGATAGGGTCGATGACTGGCTATCAGGTCCGATAACGCGCTATCGATGTAATCTCTGTTCTTGTTACCTGAATCCACTAGAGGAACATCTCATTTATTGCCACCTACTGTTATAATTGTTGTTATCAAAATGTTGCTATGTCTTTAATATTTTTTATTTTCACTCCTATCAACGCTAATACTATAAGTATGTATACTGTAAACCAGGTGGTATTGCGGGCTATCATTGTTTATTACACACACATACAATCAAAATTTATGTAAAATATATAGGTTTGTATTTACCAAAATAAATATGTACCTATCTTGATACGCCTTTTACCCACAGTATAAAGCTGTGTTTGGCTTTAGATAGCATTACGTTGCATTAAAAAATAGACGAATTAACTCTGAGGTAATCTCGCTCCTAGAGGTGTACCTCCTCTGTAAGGAATTATTGGCAAACGATTGATTTGCCTGTTGCCACACGCCATATTGTGCAAAGTTCAACTTTTGACAATTTTGACTATTCCTTAGACCTAGAGCCTTAGAATAAGACCTAGTCTATAGAATGACCAAATTGAAAGCAATGAAATTACATTCAAAGAATTATTAATTTACTAGTGAATGAAAATGTCCCGACCATGCTTGGATTCCTTCGGATATTGACCAGCCCAATTTAACAATTATCCTCTGACATGTATTAAAACTTGTGTATTTTTTTAGGTGCATCATCATCATCAACAGCCTTTAATAGTCTACTGCTGTACACAGGCCTTTCCTTAGAAAGAAGGTTTTAGCCTACCAGGTACCTACTACGTTAGCCAGACGGGTTGAGATAGGGTTTGTTTCAAGTTTTCCTCT